AGATGATGTAATGCCAGGCAATGTAGAAAACATGAGAGAAGTATAAGATGTGGCTTCTTTTGGAATTCTGTAGTTTAGTTGGGGCCAGGTACTTGTGTGTGTGAAATCTTAATTACTGTAGACAAGGAGGTATATTGTCAGGAGGTGTCTTCTGAGGGTTGTACCTTCAGTCAAAGGAATGAAGAATGTAAACTGGCATAGTCAAAGAAGAGTTAGTGTTCTAGTTGTACCAATTTCAACAGACTAAAATTCAAGCTTTCCTAGATTCATCTGAGTCTTCCAAAATGAAACAAAGCAAAACAAAACTCTCAATCTTTTTTCCTTTGGTGGAATCTCCTTCTGGAACCCCTTTCAGGTGTGTGTTAATTCATTTCATTTTCTCCTGTCTCATCACCTAGCCAGGTAGTGTCATTTTCTGCCCCACTCTCCCTCCTCCTCCTTCTCCTTTTCCTCTCCAAACATTAGTATTTTAAAGGGATGGATGAATCTTTTCATTATCGCAGGAATACAATATTTCTTCATTAGGGGCTGGCCAGATAGCTTAGCAGACTAAAGTGCCTGCTTAGGCAGGCCACAGGGACCGGGATTCAATTCCCCGTGTGCCATGATGGCCCTGCCCCCGAGGCATGCAGAGATGGCGAATGAGACAGGGCATCATGGCATGAGAGAGGCATGGTGGCACATGCCTGTAATCCCAGCGCTTGGGAGGCTAATCACTACAAGTCTGATCTGTTCAGTGGAACCCTGTAGACCTTGTACTAAATACATTAAAAAAAAAATCTCCAGGAGTTGGCATTACTGAGCCCCTGTTGTATTTTTTCTATGAATAGTCGAGTTTTTTTATATATTAATTTTATTGAGAAAGAAATAGCAATGAGATGGTTTCAAAACAAATTAGCAGGACAGTTACAATAATTAATACATTGCACATTGCTTTTTTATTTTTTTCATTACTGGGGATTGAACTCCAGGGGCCCACATTGCATATTGTTGTGTTTGTAGTAGTTATTCATAATACAAGATAGAGACATGATATCTTGCCTAAACACCATTAGTTCAAAGCTTTCTTCTCATTGAATTAAGAGTAAGTAGCTGTATATCTATGCTATTTTGTATATATATATTTTTTGTTTGTTTGTTTGTTTGCTTGTTTTTCACTACAAAAATGGACCTTCATTTATATCACCCTTTTTGTTTACTTTTGTCAGAGATGGGTATTTCATTGCCATTCATATATTGTAGGTACATGAATTCAGCAAAGTAATCTAATATAGTTCAGTAGTCTACAGTAGTCTATAATAGTAGTGAGTTATCCGCATGATTGGCAATGTCAGAAGTTGTTGACTTGAGCCTTTTACAGCTCAGCATTTTGATATGGCTTTACTATTTATACCTTATTTTTATACTTTTCTGCTGGTTGGTTAAGACCCAAGATAAAGCAAGACCTATATAACAAGAGATGTAACTTTTGTATCTGACAAGGTCAGTCAAATCCCCTCAGGATTTACCCTGAAACGCTGTACAGCAGTTTGTAGATCTTTTGTCAGTGTCAACCATGTGGATGAGTCACAGCCATTGACCAATTTGCTGTCTGTGAAAGCCTGAAAGAATGTTTTCTTTCTAGGTGACTCTAAAAAAAATTTTAATGGACATGAAAAATCTAGTATCCAACACCACAATCTTAACAGGAGACCTTAACACCCCCTTATCACAAAAAGATAGGTCAAGCAGACTAAAAATTAGCAAAGAAGTAGCAGAACTGAACCAGAACTTGGAACAAATTGACTTAGTGGATATATACAGAAAAAAAATATATTTTTAATGTTAGGTTCCACCTAACCACAGCTGAATGCACATGTTTTTCAGCTGCACATGGGACAGTTTCTAAAATAGACCACATACTAGTCCATAGGTCATGCTGAAGTATATGTAAGAAAACAGAAATTACCCCATGCATGTTATCTGACCACAATGCAATAAAACTGGAAGTAAATGACAAAAAACCCCCACAAATACATGGAAATTAAGCAACACCCTCTTCAGCAACAGATGAATTTAAACAAGAAATTAAACCATAGCTACAATTTAATGAAAATTCAAACTACTTTTAGTTAAACTCCAGTGGGCATTATTTCTTCATACTTATATTCAAGTCATACTATTTTGGTCACTCACCTGCCAGCACCCTTAAACCTATGCAAAGAATGGAATTCACTGACATATGTAATGTTGATTTATATCGAGGGACAGGTAGCCACATCAGTCTGATGGGTGCATTCCAGTTGCTCCGGAATAGATATTCTTTTTTTTTTTTTTATGGTGTGTGTGTGTGTGTGTGTGGCCAGCTCAGCCCACCTGGGGGCGGAGCTGGCTGGCATGTAGTGCTGGGGGCTCGAACCGCTGTCCCTGTGCTTTGCCAAGCTTGTTCCAAGTAGGTGCTTTAGACCATTGAGGCATCTCTCCAGCCCCCCAGAATAGATATTCTTGATGCTTAGTTATTCATGTGATGCTTCAAACTAGTACTTAAAGAAAAGGGCTTCTCACCAGACTTGCACAGCTTCCACAATCAGATTATCCTCTCATCTGTCCAAACTCATGTCATGAACCCAGATCACTGCTGAATCAGTGCAGGATCCTGGAGCATTCAGTGGGTTGACTCCAAAACTACATTTCTGATCAGCTTTGTAACTTAGAGTCAATACTCTGTGTGTTAAGGTGGATCTGTTACAAAAAACAACATGAAAAAAGCATTGATTACTAGAAGATATTTCAAATGCAAGGGATAATTTTTTTTGAAATTAAAATTCACACTTTGCCTTCATTTCCACTTATAAGTTTGAACAACCACCTGACAGTGACATGGTGGCACTGATTTTTCAGTATTATAATCTCTCAACACTAAATTTAGTAAGTTGTTTAAAGGAGATGTATACTTAAGCAACAGTCCTATAACCATGAGGAAAGGCAAACTCCACTTACTAACATGTTCTGTAGTGAAAAAGGCAAGGGAAGACCTTCACTTTTGGCCTTTGTCTGCCCTCGTGTCTACCAACAGGTACTGCACTTATGACAGTGGAGCTCTCTGGCTAAGGATTCAAAATCAACTTATGTCTTTGTCTTACCTGTGTACTGTTTTCACTGTATAAAAATTGAATTTTATACTCTAGTTAAAAAGGAATGTACAATTAAGAATATGGCTAGAAATAAAAAAAAATCCTGATATTTTTAATTTATTTATTTTTATTAAACAAGTTTAATGAAAAAATGCATAAATTTAATAAATTATATACATTTAATAAACTATATATAGTAGTTTAATGTTAAAGTACATATAAGAGTAAAATAAGGATGGAATCTAAATGGTATATCATTGTTCATGAAGACCTTCTTTAAATTTTTCTGTAGATTTTCTAAGTTTTCTTAATAAGCTTTGGAAATATATTAATCACTTATTTTAAAAGGAGAGATTACCATTACTCAGATCAATTACTATTTTCTTGATTTTCAATTTTATTTCTTTCTTTTGTTTAAAGATTTAAAATTTCTGAATTTAGTTCAATTTACAATACCACATTTCCAAGAAAAATGAACCTTTTGCAAAGATATTTAAATAAAATCATACCAAGATACACAAAAATGAAATTGTCTAAAACTTATTGTAAAGAAAAAAATCATTAAAGCATATACAAAAAATATTAGCTATGGAACAACAAAATTACATAGCGTCTTATTCTACATTGGAAAGAAAAAAAAGCCCCAAGTGTGTAAGAAACTAGATTAATTAAAGGACTGAAAGAAAAGATCTATCCTCTTTGAATTTTATACTTAGCAAACATAC